GTTTTTATGAATAAAACAAAAAAATTTTTATGTAAAATTACTTATTAAAATTTTTTATAATTAAAAAATTAAAGTTGTCTATTAAATTTAAAAATTGCGATAATTTTAAAGTGGTCCAATACTTTTGACTGGGGAGTGTATATCAGTATAAAGTATCAAATAAGACTTTTATTTATTTTCAGAAATTAGAATAACTCAATTGCTTAAGACTAAAATATTGATAACTATGCAAATGAAACATCTTATAAAAATTAAAATCTAGAACTTGATTTTGAAAATGAAATTATTTCTTACTATGATACTCAAAATTCAAGTAAAAAAAAAATTATTAACAGAATAATTGACCAATAATAATGAAGTTATATGAATAACATAGTATGATGATCTTTTAATCTAAAATTCTAAAAATACTGAGAATTCTACAAATTCTAAAATATGAAAGATCTACATAATTCTGCAGATCTTTCAAATATTAATGATAATCCTAATTTTATGAGTTAAACGAAATCTAATAATATTTAATGTTATATTTATTTTTAATATTTTACTTTTTAATATTATTTTTATTATATTTTATATTTTTATTATTTTACATATTTTTATTATCTTTGGTATATTATTTTTACTCATATTTTATTTATCAAATTAATTAATTTATAGTATAATAAATAGTTAGTCATAACAAAAGAAATTAGATAGACTTTTTGCTTATATTGTAAATTAACTCTTTTATAGATTAAAAAAAACTCTTTTACAAATCAAAGTAACTCTTTTGTGAATATGAGTTTTAATATTAATAAAGGAATTAATTAAAATTTATATCTTTCTATTTCTTCGTATCTTCATATAGTCTAATATTATTCCTATACTTTATTTGTAATTGAGTCTTTCATCTGAATTCTTTAATTAAATTATTTGTAATCTCATTTTTCAATTCTTCATACTTAATAGATTCATTTAAGTTTAACATGTAGAATTAGTAAAATTAAGAATTAAGCAAATCCTAATGTCTTAACTGCTGTAAATTGCAGTTAGTAATTTTGAATAGAGACTTAAAGATATAACTATCCTAATTTGAAGAATTTTATGATAACAATATATATAATAATATTATCTAATTCACTTTATCTAAATTTTTTCTTATTTTAAAATTTCATTAATTTAGAAAGAATATAAATTCATAATATAAAAAGTTACAAAAGATATGCAAGTTTGTAATACAGATTATTGCAAATTATTACTTATATTATATATATAAAATTCTAATTTTAAAAACTCTTTCTTGTTAATCACTTTTCAAAAAGTTTTAGAAAATAAAAAAGTCTTACTTTTATCTTTTCATTATTTTTACAATTTGTTAATTAATTTAATAGTTTAATATAGTTTTAAAATATATTTATTACTTATAAGTAAAAATAATACTTATATAGTTATAACTAATTGTAACATTATTTTACTTATAAGAATTTTTAGATTAGAGGTTTTTTTGTTAAAAATAGTTTATAATAATAAAAAACAAATCATTCAAAAAAATATTTTCAAACTTAATCTAAAAACTAGACTATCAATAAACCTAGAACATATTGCTTCAATATCTACATTTGAAAGATAACTTGATTCTTTATTTATTTTAGATGCTTCTTTAATCAAAACTTTCTTCAAATCTCTCAACTTACTTCTTTCAAAAATATTGAATTAAAATAAGTTTATTTTTATTAAGAATAATGATAATATGAATATAAAAAATAAAGAATTTATCATTATTACCTATCCTATACCATTCACTTATATTGTAACTATTAACAAAATAGTAAAAGAACTTTAACTTTTAGTTTCTCTAAAACTATTAATTTTTACTTTGCTCTTAATAATACATTTAGATAGATTATGTTAACTTAGTAAGATTAATCATGATCTATTTTAATAATTCAGATTTAATGAATTCAATCCTTACTATAACTTTTTCTAATTTCAATATTAAATATTTGATAGATTATTTGATTACAAGAAAAATATGTAATTCTAATAAAATACTATATACTGTATATTACAAATATTTACTTTAACATAAAATAAAAAACTATCATTACAGATTAAAGGGTTTTGCTAGCATATTTTATTACCTATAAAATCCTAAAATATCAAATTATTTTATATTATCACCATGGAATTTTTTAACTCAGGTTGGTCATGTCTTTAAGTCTCTACTTAAAATTACTAATTGCGACTAATTGCAATTAAAACATTAAGATCTGCTTAACGCTTAACTTTACTAAATTTATGCATTTAAATTTAAACAAATCTATCAAGTATGAAGACTTAAAAGATGAGATTACAAATAATTTAATTAAAGAATTCAAATAATAAACTCAATTATAAATAATATATAAGGATCACGTTAGACTATATAAAGACATCAAGAGGCAGAAAAATATAAATTTTGAATAATTCCTTTATTAATATTGAAATCTATATTCATAAAAGAGTTAATTTACAATATAAACAAAGGTCTATCCATTTATACAAAATTTCTTTTATTATGACTAACTATTTACTATACTATAAATTAACTAATTTGGTAAACAAAATATAAATAAAATAAATATACTAAAAATACATAAAATAATAAAAATATAAAATATTAAAAATAATAATAAAAAATAGAATATTAAAAATAAGTATAACATTAAATATTCCTAGGTTTTATTTAACTTATAAAATTATGATTATCATCAGTATTAGAAAGATCTGCAGAATTATATAAATTCTCTATATATTTAGAATTCATAGAATTTTTAATATTTTCAGAATTCTAAATTAAGAGATCATTATCCCTTAAACCGTCTAGCGGGCAAATTTGCCTGCTAAAATTTGTTTTGATCTGTATTTGTGTAACTACCTGTGATTTCCTTAATTAATACCCCACCTTTCTAAATAATAATAAAAGTGTATCACCTTATCGATCATGACATAATTTCCCTTTAATCTTTTTTTTAGTGATAATCTAAAAATCTCCACTCCATTAAAAAGTATGTCTTTTGCAATAGGACTAAGTGTGCTGTCTTCAATTTCAACTTCGAATTCATTTCCTCTTGAAACAGAACAAAATTTTGATAAAGAGAAGGAATATATTTCACTTTTAACGTCCCGTCAACATTTTATGAAATCAGATATTGAGAAAGATGAAGAGGAGGATACAGAAACGTTCATAAGGATAGACGTAAACTAATAAAAACTGTACAATTACCACCCACTCCTAATTTTGAACATTTTGTTCATCCAAAACTATTACACTAGTAATGTTTTGAACGGTTCGGTTCAATCCGAATTATAGGCCAATTTGAAACCGAACTGAACCGTAAACTGGTAAAATTCCGAACTGAACTGAAAATTTCAGATTAATCTAAAATTTCAGATCATTCCAATCGAATGATTCTTTTATCGTTCGTTTGGAATGATAATTTGATTGTTCTAATCGAACGATTCTTTTATCGTTCATTTGGAACGATAATTTGATCATTCCAATCGAATGATTTTCTTATTGTTCGTTTAGAACGATAATTTGATTGTTCTAATCGAACGATTCTTTTATCGTACATTTGGAATGATAACTTCAATCGTTCCAAATGAACGATTCTTTTATCATTCTTTAGAACGATAATTTAATCGTTTCAAATGATCTGAAATTTTGGATTAATCTGAAATTTTCAATTCGATTCAGATTTTTTCAGTTCGGATTAGATTTATAATCCGAAAAAAATCCAAACCAAACCGAAAATTTTCGGATTGAATATTTTGCAATTCGAAACTGAACTGAAGTTGATCTGAACTGAAAATTTTTGGATTAATCCGAACTGTTCAGAGCTTTATACATTGGGCATTTATTAACTTGCCGCCAAATTATGAAGCTAATTTTTCTAAACCAATCAATCTTTTTCTACTTTTTTTTTCAAACTCCATATTAGACACAATAGTTGTTAATACAAATTTGTATGCATTAATAAAAGACGCTGGTGCTGTTGGTAAAAAGTGACAAAATATAGACCGTAAAGAGCTTATTATCTGGATAGCTCTAGTTATCTATCAAGAACTCTTTAAATTACCCTCACTTAATCAATATTGAAATGAAGATCCAAAGTTTCCTATCCATCATATTTCTAAACAAATGTCATTAAAGTGCTTTGAACAAATCAAAAGATACTTACACATTTCTCCTCCCATGGCTATGATTAACAATTATTTTGAAAAACTGGAATCACTACTTTCAAAAATTCTTGATGTTTTAAAACAACTTTATACATCAAGTTCAAATGTTTCGGTGGATAAAATGATAGTACGATTTTCTGGATGAAGCATCCATACTATTCGAATAAAAAATAAACCAACTCTGAAAGGTTTTAAAATTTTATCTTTATGTGAGTCTGGATATACATATACTTTTTTGCCTACATCGCATATATAACCAAATAATATAACAAGAATGAATGGTCTTAATCAAACTAGATGTCTTGTTCACTATCTTGTTACGCAACTTCCATATCAGCAATTTCATATAACATTTACATGGACAATTATTTTTCCAATGTCCCTCTTTTTCAGTATCTTCAATAAATAGGCATTAGTGCTTGTGGAACCATCTAAAAAACAGCTTCTGAATTTCCAAAAGAATTAAAGGTGAATAAAAATGTCAAACTCAATTGGGATGTTCATTTTAGCATTGTAATAAATGAAGTGTTGGCTATTTTTTGGCAAGATAATGAACTGGTCATGATGTTATCAACGATTCATAATCTTATTGGTGAAGAATAGGAAGTGGAGTGAGAAAAATAACGGCCAAGAGAGACGAGTACCAATGCAACAAAGGTATGTCGAAGCAGAGTATCTTTTCAATTTTTTTTTGTTTTTTTTTTATTTTTTAATTTTTTACTAATTTGATTTTTTTTTTTTCTTTCCTCTTTTTTTTCTTTTCTCCTTTATTCTTTTTTCTTTATTTCCTTTTTTTTTATTCTTTTTCTTTCTTTATTTTTTTTTCTTTTTCCCTTTTTCTTTTTTTTCTTTTTCATTTTTCTTTTTCCTTTTTTTTTTTTGTTCTTCATTTTCTCTTTTTTCTTTTTCGTTATTTCTCTTCCTTTTTTTTCTTTTTCATTTTCCTCTTCCCTTTTTTTTTCGTTTTCTTCTCCTCTTTCTTTTTTATTTTTTTCCTCTTTTTTTTTTTGTTTTCCCTCTCCTTTTTTTTTATTTTCCTTCTTTTTTTCCCTTTTATTTTCATTCTTTCTCTCCCTTTTTTTTCCATTATCTTTTTTCCTTTTTCTTTCTTTTTTGTTTCAATTCTTCTCTTTTTTCTTTTTCATTCTTCCTTTCCCTTTTTTTTTATTCTTCTCCTTTTCTTTTTTCTTTTTTGCTCTTCTTTTGCTCTTTTTTTCTTTTTTGATTCCCTCTCTCTTTTTCTTTTCTTTCTCATTTAAGATGCGTGTAGTATTCAGCTCCAAATCAAAAAAGAAATTATTAATTTCAAAGGTAATTAATGATTACAACCACCACATGAATGGCGTAGATATTGCTGACTAATTGAGGTCTTACTACAATACATAACAAATAGTACGAAAGAATTGGATGCCTCTCTTTTTTTGGTTGTTAGATACTGCAATTGTCAATGCCTATCGAATTACTTGAATATTAGGATCAGTATTAGAGTATAAAGAATTCTACTATGAACTTGTTTGGAATCTTATTAAACTTGCAAATGATACAAAAGAAATTTATTTAAGAAATTGCTCAAAAAAAGAAATAAGGAAAGAACCAAAAAAAGAAACTAGACGATCAAAGGTGACAAAAAATTTTGAGTTTTCAAATCAATGGTTTATGCCTAAAAACCATTTTGCTGAATGGAGAGAGCAATGAGAATCATATCAATGGTGCACTTGGCTGGCAAGCAAAAAAAATTTGAATTTGGATTGTAAAACACCAAATAGAAGTTAGCTTTGATGTATAATATGCAATGTACCTCTTTGTTGTAATATTAATCGTAATTGTTTTATCAGTTTTCATACAAAAAATAATGATAATGAATAAAATTTTATTTTGTTAATTTTTAGACATTGAGAATTTATTTTATCAACATTTATCAGTTTATTGATATAAATGTGCTAAAGTTAATTTTTAATAGTTTAATTAATTCATAACATAAAATTTTATTATGGATAAGTACTCCTATTACATAGTAGCTTTTTTTTATTCATATATGAAGTAGTTAAAATAAATTTTTTGGGCAATTTGAAAAGTTTAGTTATTTGGGATACCTCGTAGTCAAAGCATAGCAAATTTCATATAACTTGAAATTTCATCATTTGTTTGGATCACATAACGTATGCTATAACGTAATTTTATTATTATCATGTGACCTAACATTTCAGGTATATTCCGGTTAATTTTAATCTAAGATTTAATATAAAAAAATTATTCTAAACCTAATTTTTTCTAATTATTTTAGCAGACAAATTTGTTCGCCAAAATGGACAGTTTAAGGGATACTGTGTTATCTATATAATTTTATTATTATTAGTCAGTTATTCCATTGATAATATTTAATAATCACATTATATTTTTAATGACTATATTAAGATATATTTAGCTAATCTTATTCTTGATCAAGTTAAATAAAAGAAATAATCTCAGAATTAAGCTAATTAATTTACCTTTTAATATTTTAATATATAATCTACAAGATATAATTTTTACTACTAAGGTCAAAGTTATCTATATACTAAAATTGAATAATTACAAGCCTTATTCTATCACCATTTTTTATTTTGATATTGCTGCTACCCTTAATGATACTGCTAATAATGCATTCACTTCTGACAGCTAAGAATTATAATAATATTTAATAGATACTAATTGTTATCACAAATGTGACTTATCCAAGTATATAGTTGTAAAATATTCTCAAATTATTTTTTTTTACTGATAATACCTTGATGATTCTTTTAAAAATCTTATATATAAGTTGCCTTTTATTTAATACTTATATAATAAATTCAAATTAGCTGGTTTTTATTTACTCATCATCAAAAAATTCTAATAAAAGTAGAAATGATTACCTTTCTAATTTATCACTAAATTATCTTAGAGTTTTAAAGGAAAGCTAAAGATGAAAATTCCTTTGACTTATTTATCAATGATTCTATTTACATTTCAAAAAATTATAATGATATTATAAAAAACTTAATAGAATCTTAGTCATGTTCTTAAACATGTAAAAAATAATAATTGATCTTAAATAACATATTGTCAAGATAGAAAAAACTCAAATTTCCATTTAATCTTTAGTTTTTCTATTTTTTCAAAAAGGTTTTTCAATTCTCTTTACCTTTAATTACTCTTTCTGATTTTATTTTATATAAACATACTAAAATTACTATTTTATTATTAAATAAAATAAGTCTAAAAATCTACAACATGTTGATCCTCTATTATTGGCAAATAATCTTCTATTATTATTGAATAAAAAAGTAATTGCAAATTATAGATACACAAATATAAGATATGATGACGCAGTTATAAACTTCATCTAACTCTTCTTTATAATAATTACAACTTATTTATTTTTAAAATTAAAATTAATAAAATTTTAATCATATAATAACAAATAATGATTTAATAGTCTTAAATGATATATTAATAATTCAAAAGAATTACTTCTTATTTTATTTATCACTTATAACATTAAGTTTTTACAATAGCTAATTTTATTACTTATAAACTATTGATAAATTTAAATTTTAAGATTTTATAATATATAATATATAATAAATAAGATATAAATATATAATGTAAAATATATGATTGTATATTGATATTTATAACTCTCCTATTAAATATAGAATTTAAAATAATGTTAGTTTTTAAACTCATATCCTATATATTTAATATACAGTCCCCAGCGAAAAGAATGGCGGTAGAAGACTGCATCTATTTTTGGCTGCAGTTTCACCACTTTCTGGATTTAGGTATTTATTTATATGCCCAAATCGGACATTAGAACCTGAATTAAAAAGGTAAGTTAAAAAAATAAGGTTTGTTATTTGTTTTTA